AGTGGCAGGGTTGAGATAATATATGGGAATCATACAGTTATTTCATTATTGCTAAGTACAATGTAGTTAGGCAGTATTTAGGCCTGTGTATGTGTACAGCTATTGTAAAACTCAAGTATTAATATTTCCTTTCTTCCAGAGAGGCTGAGGCTGGAGGATTGCTTGAACTGGAGAGTTAGAGACCAGTCTAAGCAAAGCAAGACCCCATTTCTACTAAAAATAGAAAAATTAGCCAGGCATTCTGGTGGGTGCCTATAGTCTCAACTACTCTGGAGGCTGAGGCAGGAGGATTGCTTGAGCGCAGGAGTTTGAGGTTGCTATGAGCCATGATGGCATGTGATCCTGGGCAACAGAGTGAGACTCTGTCTCATGGAAACAAATAAATACACAAAAACCCCCAGAAACTTGAAGTGTAACTGAGCAAGCATTTGCAAAAAAGAGCATTAACACGATTAAGGGAAATTTCTTTCAAATTAACAATTATATAGTATAGCCAGTGGTTTAAAAAAAATGGTTCCCTTTTCTATCAGAGATTAACTAGCTTTGTTCCTGGTGTAACACTTGGTGGGAAGCAATGAAATTTTTTGAAATAATAAAGCCTGTAACAAATGATTAGATTTACTAACAGGGGAATGTTTATGCAGGGTGATTAAGAATACTGATGCAGCCATTTTTTAAACTGTGTGATGAGATGAAAATGAGGATTATGAGACACGGAGGCTCACAATTACTGCTGATTCCTATCCCAGAGTTTGTTCCAAGTGCTTGATGAGATGAATGAATTCTTTCATTTCAGGCCCATAACAAACCTATGAGGTAATTGCTATTATCATCCCCATTTTTCTGAGGAGAAGATGAACACTAGAAAAATTCAGTGTTTTTCCCCAAAATTTCAAAGCTAGTAACAGGCAAAAAACCTGGATGTGAACTCAAGAATCCTGGCTCCAGATCCCATGTGCTTAAATGCTACATGGCACAGTCTTTCTGTGGAAGCAGAGCTGGAGCTACCAGGCTCAAGGACGAAGTTCAAGGTCAGGGCTAGTCTGTCTGTCTGTCTAAGCAGATGACAGTTTGTTCTCATAGGCACAGTGGAAAAAGTTTAGTTTTGCTGAACCGGAACTGAGGGAGAGGATGCATGTAACACTGTGGTTCCTGAGGGGGAGGTGAGGGAGGACGTGGAGGGGGGCTTCCCATCATGGATGGTCTTGGATCTTCCATATCCCACTGTTTCCCCCACATCTTAAAATTGCTGGACGCTTGGGTTACAGCAATGATTTTCGATTGGTGTGCCACAAAAATTTCAAAGATCATCCATTAAATTATTTTCGAAAGAAGTTCAAAGCCCAGTAAGTATACCCTCCTTCTTACTCTTTTTTTTTTTTTTTTTTTTAATAAACATAACTGAAGTGTGCCATGGAAGGTTAACTATAGGTCCAAGTGTGCCGTGAGATTTAAAAAAGTTGAAAACCACTGGGTTAGAGCAAGACTAGTGAATGCCATCTCTCCAACAACCTCAATGAAGGCAGGGTTTGACTGAAAAAAAAAAATAAGAAATTTAATTTTAGACATGGCAAGTGCAAATACATCGCTTTGTGTCACAGAAAATAGAAACTGTTCTACCACGGGAGACAGTATAATAGAACAGAGTAACAGTATAATAGAATATCTAAGTGGGGAAAAAACATTCAAGTGTACACGTCGTGTGAAGATACTTTATTAAGATCAAAGGGTTTTCATTACATTGACTTATAAATCTTTACTTGTCCAAACGAAAATAAATAATAAAAATCTGTATCTTCAGGAAGATTTTGACAACATAGTTTTGTAAGTCAGTGAGAAGTTTACATGTTTGTTAATTTTAAATTATAAAAATTTAGATACATTCGATCAGTCTACAATAGCAGGAACACTAGCCTTAAAGATACCCCACACTTCCCTGTTGGTGGGTACAATCGTGGTAATAAAACCGTATTTCAATTTCACCTTTTTATTTTTAACCAACTCTAATTTGTCAATTATGGGGATATGAAATTTCCTTTTAAATACATGAACTTAACAAAAGTGAACTTTCCTCTTCTGTCAAATAGCGGCGGACACTCCATCATCCTGGGGTCAGGCTGCTAACAGGGAAAAGCACAGCGACTTTCCTCCTTGCTGGAGAAAGAGATTGGCAGTGAAGACAGCACAGAATTACAGGTCTTTTGTTACGGATATCAAGGAACTGTTGGAGTTAGCCCTGCCTTCTTCAATTTTAATCAAATCTCTCTGTAAGCATCAAGATGGCCACATAAACCCCACTTTCAAGACTACGTATTCTACCTGATTCCTCACACTGCCAAAGTGCCCCTTTCTTTTTGTTATTTTGAAAATATTGTTCTGGAGTTGAGCTGGGTGGTTCACGCCCGGAGTTCCAGCTACTTTGGAGGCTGAGGTGGGAAGAGCGCATGAGCCTAGGAGGTAACGGCTGCAGTGAACTGTAATTATATCACTGAACTCCAGGCTAGATGACAGAGCGAGATCCCATTTCTTAAAAAAAAAAAAAAATTTTGTTCCAGCTCTGGTCTAATAAAGAAGGAAGGTCTGGACAGTTCTATTTTTTCACACCACCCCCACCACTTCAACGACCATAAAGCACTTAGTTTCCACTGTCTACTACCATAATCTCTGCCCCCACAGTAAAGAATTAAAGAAATTATCTGCCAATGGAGAAAAAAAAATCAATGTCGGTATTTCAGGATAAAGAATTTGAACTGTCCAAATTATTCAGATGATTGCCTAAATGATACATTGCCTATCTTTCTTTGTCCAAGAAGTCTTGATGTCTAGGAAATTTTAGCCAATGTTCAAAGAAGGGAATATTTTACCCAGACCAGCTACTTAAGACTTATACTCCTATTGGATCTGCTACTCAACTTTAAAGTACAGCTTTAGTATCAGATCTAGTAATCTATCTCCTCACTTTTTTTTTTTTTCCAAACAAAATTGCTTATTGTATTTAACCGATAAACTTAGAAATCACTGTTTGGGTTGTGTTATTACATAACATTTAGGCTGATTACCTAACTGTTTGGGGGTGAATGTGTATCGAGGCAGGGGAGTAGCTGTCTCTGTTTCTAATATGTAACTTGACACATCTCAGGGAAATCCAGGGACTAATGCTAGCAAGTGTGGGGTGTGCCTGTGATGCACCTGTGGGTCTATTTGTGTAAAGGTCAAGTATTTACATGGAATGTTGACCTTGACTTATAAAACTACTGTTTTATATTAGGACATCTTTACATACAATCAATTTATTTTATCAATATCCCCATTTGATATTTAAAAAAATATGCCTTTCAAATATTTCATAAATATATAAAAGTTCACTACATTCTATATTTCTTTAAGCATGACATCTAAACTCTCTTTATAAATCAACAAAATATAACTTTTTTTTCTATTTGAAAGTCACAGATGCAGTGATTTTTGGCAGGGCCTTACTGCATGCAAGAATAGCAGGCATGTTCCCTTGTACGAACTTACAGATATTTCTAGTATTCTGAACTATATATTATAATCCACTCACCAGAGATCAGTAGTATCAAAGAAAATGAGCGATCCCATCTAAATATTTACAATATGCGAGTCTTGCTTAAACTTCTTTAACACTGGCAAAGTTTGAATGGAACCTAGAAAGTGTTAAGAATCATTTTGGTGACAAAAAAACAAGTTAACATGACATAAAAAGTTTCCTTAAAGAGATCTTAGTGCAAATTTAAAGATATGGTGATGAGGCCAGGTGTGGTGGCTCATGCCTGTATTCCCAGCACTCTGGGAGGCCAAGTCAAAGAATTGCTTATGTTCAGGAGACTGAGAACAGCCTCAGTAAGAGCAAGGCCCTCTCTCTACTAAAAATAGAAAAATTAGCTGGGCATGGTGGTGTGCACCTGTAGTCCCAGCTACCCAGGAGGCTGAGGCAGGCAGATTGCTTGAGGCTTGAGCCCAGAAGTTGGAGGTTGCCGTTAGCTCTGATAATGCCATAGCACTCTACCCAGGGCAACAGAATGAAACAATCTTAAAAAAATAAAAAAAAGATGTGATGAATTGCACATATTTTTAAAAAAAGATTACATTTTCTTTAATAGTATCAGTAATATATAAACATGCTTACAGTCTTCAGAATAGGAATCACATTCTTACAACTTATTGGGAAAATCCAAATCTGGCTAAAAAAAAACTATTTGGTGACTCCAGAAATGTCTTCTGAAGATTTACAAAAACAGATGTTCTTTGTAATCATTTCTTGCCCCAGGACACTACCATTCTTACTACGATTAATGCCATAAGGAGAGATTTTAAGTTATATATAATAATTTTTAAAAGTGTTTTCTCTTATTAAATATTTGTTGAGTTGTGGACACGTACTCATAAGAAATTCTCAACCTATAGTACGAAAATTCACGCAAGGTAAATTTTCAGTTACTCCTTTAAGAAAGATGTTTAAAATGCTTATAAACTGAGAACATGTTGGGGCTCTATAAGGAAAAGTTTGCACTTTCTGAATAGCAAGAGGACTCCTTCTGTCCTCCCAGTTAAACCTGTGATGATCCACTGGGAAGCAGCAAAGCTGTCCTGCCCCAGGCTGCTGAGCTGATGCCAACCAACTGCCAACACACAAACTCCATGGCAGTATCCAGATCTGAGCCCAGGAGAAGCACAAAGTCTCTCTGTCTCTTTGAACAATCCAGTCTCATCTTGGAGACAGGGCTACATTAAAGACAAGTAGAAGGTTCAAAGTTTTGCTGACAATACGGTACTGTGCAAATTTTGATTCTGGATCTTCTACTCACCCATTGTGTTTGAAATAAGGCTGTAAAAAGATACAAGCAAAAGCGGCATTCAATGTTAACCAAGATTACATACCGATGACAGTGACACAGATTTTAAAACCCTACCACCAAAATGGCAACTGATTTAATCATGCACTTTATAAAAAAAAAATAAGATGATGTGGACATTTCCCTTAGTTATGAATGTAACCAGCTCACTGGTACCCAATGGGCCTCTGTCTCTAATTTGTCAAAAGTTGTCTTTAGCTCATTGAATGCCATGGTGAGATCATCATTTATGATGATTTTGTCAAAAAGGTGACCATATTGACTTTCCATGATTTGTGCAGATTTGATCATTTCTTGAAAGTCTTCTTCCTACAAAAGGAAGTATTTAAAAAAAAAAAAAACTTGGGTTAACTAGGCAATCACCTCACTTCACATCAATGCAAACACTCTACTATTAGTTCACCCAGTGCTGCTGAGGTCAGTCTTTCACCTCAGCCAGAAATAAAAATTATCCCCTTTAATCTTAGACTATTCAGATGCCGTAATTTCTAATATGATCACTCTGATTTGATTGTATTGAAATTGCTGCAAAAAGAGGCTGGGCCCCTGTGGCTCAGTGGTTAGAGCGTCGGCCCTGTGTGCCGGGGGTGGCGGGTTCAAACCTGGCCTGGGCCTGCTTAAAAAAAGAAATTGCTACAAAAAGAGTCCCAAGTCCTGCCTCAACTGAATCTCGGGATGATTAGTCACGAACTCATCATCCCCAAGTACGTCGGTGTTAAAATAGCTGCTAATGGGGGGAAGAAGAACAGTTTGCTCTGGTGCTTTGCTGCATCATTTATGCTTATTCATAGGAAGGAATTTATAGTATAAACTCCTTTTTCAGAGCTGGGAACATTTATAAAAGGAGAGGTATCATGTTCTTCCTATGTCTCACTGGAAGTGTTTCAAGGAGCACTTGATGGCTGAACTTTCTGAAGCCAGAAAGTATTTTAGTTGGCTTCATAATATAAATGTGAGCTGAATCCTAAGATTTGTTTGTTATCTCTTATTATCTTCACTGAGAAACCTTTACATTTATAAACAGTACAATTACTCTTTACACTGCAACACAATAAAATCATTTCAGCGTCTACATGTCAATGTCACTAAGATTTTGCACCAGAAAATTTAACTTTCCTGTTATTTAAGAGCCTTGAAGAACTAACGTCACAGGGCAGTACCCTGTGTATTCAGCCTGGCTATGTTTGCAGCGTGTTAGAAAAAAGATACTTATTAAATATTGGGAATCAAAAACCTGGTCTGTGTTTTGTAACTATTATGAATAGCTTACAAGTTAATACAGACTAAGGTTAAAGATGAGCTAATTAAGCGGAAGAGAAAATAAAAAGCTCTTGATGTTTAGTTTCTGGGCTTTTTTATTTTTGGTTCAAAGGCAAGATCAAGAACAAAAAGGATAAAAGGCCTTACCAAGAGCCATTATAGTCATTAAAACACCACAATCACTGCTTCTGATAACACTGACGTGAAATACAAATATTGTTGAATAATATTAGTCTATTTGTCCTATGAGGTTAGATAATGAAGTTTCAAACTCATCCCAGAAAAAGTGCTGCATAACTCACTGCTGAATATCACTATGGTCACCCTCAAGGTACTCCCCTTGGGAAGTGATGCTCTCGTGCCAGTGGCTAGTCTACCCTTCAAAGCAACTTTGGAACTGTTTTTCTGGAATGGCTATTGGAGCCGTCAGCATACAAGGTCTGACAGTGAAGTTTCCAAACTCATCCTAGAAAAAAGGTTTTGAAGGGTGGATGAGGTGCTGGCATCCAGGAATAGCTTTCCAAGGGGAGGACTTAGAAGGTGGCCATAGTGATACTCAGCAATGAGGTATGTAGCTCTTTTTCCAGGATGAGTTCATGAACTTAATTGTCTGAGCTCCTATGCCCAAAATGGGGCTTTTTCTTTTATGGTGCCAGATATCCAAGGAGATTAAGGATGGTAAATTATTAAATTTTTCATTAGACTATTATAAACTATATATTACTACTAATAATTACTGACTTTGGTACATTTAGCTTTAAAAATATAAAGTTAGTCTGAAAATAATTTGTCTAACTTTTATACACAGGATCAACCTTACAAAGTCTGAAATGTATGTATAACAGGGTACGAATTAGTTTTAAGACAATTTAACATGAAGATCTATTAAAAGAAGCACAAAAAGTACAATTGCTCAAAATGTATGTATGTAAATATAATTCGTTTACAGATTTTTGGTTCATGATTTCACCTGCTACAGTCTGTCTGATTTGCTGTTTATGTCTTATCATTGTCACACTTACTGTAAAGGGTTTGGCGGCACCCTGGTCATCTCTGCTTGATATAATCTTTGCATTTTTTCTTGTCTCTCTCAAACGCTCTATTGAAGGAGGCTTTATAAATATCACGTAGGGCTTAAATTCTAGTGTCCTTAAATGCTTGACTGTCTGTAAGGAAAAAAAGAACTTTTCTTGAATTTTTACCATAGCATCGTGAGTTACTCAATTTTCTTCCAAGGAGAAAATTCCTCACAATTATTCTCTAATTAAGGTCAGTAAGTCTTCTGATACATTATGATTTTATTCATTCAATGTTGCAAATACCCTTGAAAAGAAGTTGGAGAACGCAACTTGCACTTTAAAATGTTTTGAAATACACTGTATCATTAACATTGGACAGAGGTGGCTAAAAATATCACAAAACTGGTTTTTAGATTAAATACCTAACAGACGTGATGATTTCGATAACCTTCTGATCACGAGGGTCTTCCGACCACCCCATGTAAGGCCTCTCCCTGTCTCAAGCAGGAGTTCTGTTTGTGTTTTGTTCATTCTTTCAGAGTGTCCTTGCACGGAAACCTGCCCACATCCTCCCATCAAATATGTTATGTTAGGTACGCTGTGCTTTTCGGGACTCAGCTGTAGCCAAGGGTGAGAGTGAAAGGTTATTTTGGAGCTCTGTATCAGGGCTTTTTGGAGCATGAATATAAATCCTAACTCCGCTGACAGGTCAGGCCCAGTGGGTTACGTGTGTGCATGAGCAAGAGCGGACAGTGGTGGTGTTAGGGGTTTGGTGGGGGGTGAGGGGGGGTGAAGAGGCTCTGGGGAGGAAGGCAAAACAACAGTATGGGAGGCTGAGTGTGGCTGGACTCTGCACACCATAGAGAAGTGGCAGACAGGTGACAGAGAGGTTCTGCACAGGCAGGACCACCCTATCCACAGCTGTGCCAGAATTGGGAGTCAGCCTTTTTTTTTTTTTTTTTAATTTTTGCTTTCAATTTCTGCTGGCTTTC